ACTTAAGTGAAGATCATAGAAATGTATATGAAAAAGAAATTTGCAATTGTTATAATTTACCATTTATTAAATATTACCTGTTTTGGTTTCATTTAATTACTTTCATAAAAATATGTTAAGGACAGATTTTTCTAATATATTGTATGAGTTGTGATGTCCACTACAGCAGTAAGCAGAAACATGTAGCTCTTATACACTCATTATGTAGCTATTTCAAGTAGAAATGTGTAGGGCTACTGTGTAGCTCACTAGCACTAGAAATTTTATCTGATAGACTATTCTGTCTAGAAGTGGCACTGCCCACCCCAATTTTAAGTAAGTTCATTGCCTATTGGTCTACCTATCTATGTGTGTATGTACATGTGTATGTAGGAAGCTTCTACAATATTTGATTTACATATGACTATCTAAAATATCTTTAGTGTTAGTTGTCTCTCTCCACACTTCATCCTCCATCTTGCCCTGCTTTGGAATAATCCTCTTGTACACTGTAAAGATTTGTCACTTGAACTGATTTAATAAAATGCTGATTATCCAGTAGCTAGGCAGGAAGTATAGTTGGGGCAATCAAACTAAGGGTGATGGGAAGGAGAAGGGTGGAGTCAGGAGCTGCCAGCCAGATGCAAAGGTAGCAGGAGATGAATGTGCCATGCTAATGAAGACACTGCCATGTGGCAAAGCATAAATAGAAATATGGATTAATTTAGGTATAAGAGTTAGTTAGAAGACTGAGCTATCAACCAAGCATTTATAAGTAATATTAAGTCTCTGAGTCAGTTATTTGGGAAGCAGCTTTCAGGACAGGGGGACAGGAAACATCCAATTACACTGCCCACCTATCTCCACCCAACCAAGTCCTTCCTACTTCACTATTCCCCATCCTTCATGCCACCTGCACTCCAGCTCTTTTCCCTGCAAACTTCCCACATGGCTTCCTACAAGTTTCTCTACCTCCATGGGTGCTCAAATTTGAATACACATACCCAATGATTCGACAGTAGAATCCACATGTAAGAGAGAATATGTGATGTTTGTCTTCCTTGGTTGGATTACCTGGCTCAGAATGATTTTTTCTAGCTCGATCCATTTACCTGTAAATATTATAATTTCATTTTTCTTAACTGGTGAGTAATATTCCATTGTATAGTGGAATTATATATTATTATTATACATTCATTAGTTAATGAACATCTAAGTCACTTTCCATTTCCTGACAATTGTGAATAGAGTGACAATGAACAAGGATGAGCAAGTATCTCTGTGATAGGAAATAGAGTCTTTTATGTATATTCCTAGCAGTGGTGTAGCTGAAACTCATGATAGATTTATTTCTAGCTATTTAAGGAACCTCCACACTGATTGATATAGTGGCTTCACCAGTTTGAATTCCTAGCAATGAGGAATAATCTGGCATCTTTATTTTGTTCACTTATTTTCCTTCTAGTTTTCAAGCATGTTCTTAGCTTTTTCCTATATTCCCAACCTATATCCAGAAAGTAATCATGCCTGACCCCAACTTAATGAATTTTTTTCCATGAAAACATTTCTTTTGGAGCAATATAATCTGGGCTTTCCAATGTAAAACAGTTCCACTCCATGAATTAATAAATCCTACTTTCTCATCAAAATGGAATGAAGATTCATAATAATCTATTGTAGATGTAATTCAGTATAGATGTAGCCAACGGTTTTATCAGACAAGAAACACGGAGCCGATTCAGAGAAGAAAGCCAAGAGGTCAGAGCCAAGAGCCTCACCCTTTCTGATTCAGGGATCCTCCTCAGCCAAGAGAGCTCTCCGAAAGAGAGCCCTACTTCCTGTGTGTCTGTCTCTAATAGTCTCCTTGTTCTGGCTTCTGATTGGTTGTAAACCCAATCATGTGACTGCCTCGTCACTGCCTGTATGTACCGCCCTCCAGGTCCTTAAAGGCGTACACCACCCTGCCACGCACTTGCTATGGCTCTAATAGCTCTGACCCCAGGCAACTTTATTTATTCCACCACATTTCCCCTTTTCTAATTTAATAAAAAGGAAAGAAAAGAAAAAGGTTATAACTAACAAAAGAAAAACTACATACAAAAGTACAATAACTATACACAATATATACAAGTAATAAATGTCTAAATAATTTCTAGTCCATTCTTCTTGGCTGTGTATATATGGCTTCATCTCAGCATCCCGTTCTTCTCCACATCCCTCTGTCAAATGCCATATTCTGTAGATCTCTGAAGGGTTTGAAGATGACCTGTCTAAAATATATCTGCTCAATTTTTAAAACATATCTAATATGACTACAACTTCTATTGTAATGTCTAACTACTAACTTTCATTTCTTTATATCCTAATAGTTGGTAATAATAACATTCAAGGATCAGAAAATTGCATTGTTAAATGAACGGTATAAGTACAATTAGAAATATACATATAGCATTTTCTAACAATATCAATTCCAATATATATAACTTGTATACAATATAAAACAATCCAATCCAATGTAAAATACTTAAAACTAGTAATTGTCTTTTTCTTCTTCTTTCTTTCTTTTTTTTTTTGTGTGTATGTATTATGCCAAAGTGTTACAAAATAGTCAGTAATCATTTATTATGCATATGTGAGGTTCAACTTATCTAGATTATTATTACTTGACCATACATATTACTTGACCATATTGAATATTTAGAAAAGAGACTAAAATCCATAAAACAATTCAAATTAAAGCTAACAATCTTTTGAAAGAAAATGCAAAGGATTTCTAACTACAATAGGAAAAGTTGCTATTGTTGACAGAATTGAGACACCTTTTTTTTTCTCTTTGAGATGTTAACACCTAAAACTGTTACTGTTCTATTGTGGTCTTGTCTTACCTACATTACTAAATAGTTAATAAACTAGAATAGTATTCTGCACATTTCAAAATTGAATTCTAAAGAAGACAGCATAATACAATGACATCTTGGCTCACATCCTACTTTCCTCCATGAAAAGATAACATACATTAAATTATCTCTATAATTCTTTGTTTTTAGGTTTTTTTCTTTCATTTTTCTTTATTAATGATCCCTGACCTCAAGCTCTACTATAGAGCTATAGTAGTAAAAACAGCTTGGTACTGGCATAAAAACGACATGTGGACCAATGGAATTGAATTGAAGACCCTGACATTAATCCACACACCTATGAACATACGATTTTCGACAAAGAAGCCAAAACTGTACCATGGAAAAAAGAAAGCATCTTCAACAAATGGTGCTGGCATAACTGGATGTCAACATGCAGAAGATTGCAAATAGATCCATATCTGTCACCATGCACAAAACTCAAGTCCAAGTAGATCAAAGATCTCAACATAAATCCAGTTACACTGAACTTGATAGAAGAGAAAGTAGGAAGTAGTCTGGAATGAATTGGCACAGGAGACCACTTCCTAAATATAACACCAGTAGCACAGACACTGAGACCAAGAATTAATAAATGGGACCTCCTGAAACTGAGAAGCTTTTGTAGAGCAAAGGACACGGTCAATAAGACCAAATGACAGCCTACAGAATGGGAAAAGATCTTCACCAAGCCCACATCTGACAGAGGGCTGATCTCCAAAATATATAAAGAACTCAAAAAGCTAGACATCAAAATACTGAACAATCCAATTAAAAAATGGGCTACAGAGCTTAAGAGAGAAATCTCAGCAGAAGAATCTATAATTCTATTGTATGAGTTTAATTCCTGTAAAACAGTAATATGATGGTCAGGTTTTTTTAGAGAAATGGATATCAGTTATGAATTTTCTCAATGATACTCTGTAACACCCTAAAAAGCTATTACTATAAAACAATAAATACCTCCAACCTCAGCACCAGCACCTCTGCTGGGCTCTGCCCCCAACTCAGGCAGAATTTAACTGCTTTGGTGCAAGCCACATCAATAAATTCCTTAAAGAATACCAAGAAAGAAAAAAAAAACAGGGGAAGGAAACTATTCAAGACATGAAAATTGAAATAGAAGCAAGAAAGAAAACACAAACTGAGGGAAATCTGGGCAAGCAAACATGAACTACAGACATAAGCATTGCCAACAGAATACAAGTGATGGAAGAGAGAATCTCAGGCATTGAAGATACAATAGAAGAAATAGATTCATTGGTCAAAGAAAATGATAAATCTAAAAAAACTCCTAATACAAAACATCTAGGAAATATGGGACACCATGAAAAGACCAAACCTAAGAATAATAGGAATAGAAGAAGAATCCCAGCTCAAAAACCCAGTGAATATAATTAAAATCATAGAAGAAAATTTTTCTAACCTAAAGGACATGCCTATAAAGGTACAAGAAGCTTACAGAACACCAAATAGCTTTGATCAGAAAAGAATATCCCAAGACCACATAATAATCAATACACTAAACGTACAGAACAAAGAAAGAATATTAAAAGCTGGAAGGGAAAAGGGCCACTTAACATATAAAGGCACACCTATTAGAATCACACCTGACTTCTCAATGGATACCCTAAAAGCTACAAGGGCTTGGACTTAAATCATGCAGACTCTAAGAAACCATGGGTGCAAGGCCAGACTAATATCCACAACAAAACTATCTGCTGTGGATGATTGATTGATAAATAAAATGCTGATTGGCCAGTAGCCAGGCAGGAAGTATAGGTGGGACAAAGAGAGAGGAGAAGTCTGGGAAGTGGAAGGCTGAGGAGAGGAGACGCCAGCCTGCCATCCAGAAAGCAACATGTAAAGGCAGTAGGTAAAGCCAGGAAACACGTGGTGACATATAGATTAACAGAAATGGGCTGAGTTTAAGTGTAAGAGCTAGACAGTGGTAGGCCTGAGCTATTGGCCAAGGAGTTTAATTAATATGAGCTTCTGAGTGATTATTTTATACGTGGCTGTGGGGTCCATGGGGCTGGGCAAGACTTGAAAAATTCCAGCTACAACTTTACATAGATGGAGAAAACAAGACGATTCATGACAAAGTGAATTTTTTTTTTTTGAAGGTAGTTCTCCAACTTTATTTGACACTCTGCAGCTTAGTTCTCATTCACATTGACTGTCTGTAGATTTTTGAATGTGGTAACAGGTATGTAAGTTACCAATGTGTAGAGCTTGTTTGGTGAGTCCTCATCTTCATTACGTTTTCTGGACAAACGTACACGGATACGGTATGGAACATTCCTTATTCCTTTGGCCCAGACGGCTTTATTGAGCCTAGTATCAATGCGCACATCTGGAGTACCCATCTCCTTCATGGCAAATTTCCGGATTTCTTTGAGTGCCCTAGGGGCACGCTTCTTGAAGCCCACTCCATGGATGCGCTTGTGAATGTTGATGGTGTATTCTTGGGTCACAACCTCGTTGATGGCAGAACGGCCCTTCTTCTTCTCGCCACCCTTCTTTGCGGGAGCCATTCTGCCGGGCCCAAGCTGGAAAAAGCGACAAAGTGAAATTTAAACAATATCTGTCCACAAATCTAGCCCTACAGAAGGTGCTAGAAGGAAAATTTCAACCCAAGGAAGTTCACTACACCCACGAAAATATAGGCAATAGATAATCTCACACCAGTAAAATCCAAAGAAGGGAAACACACTACTACTACTACTACTACTACTACTACTACTACTACTACCAACAACTACAACAAAAAAAATAACAGGAACTAACAATGAAAGGTCAATAATAACCCTCCATATTAATGAACTCAGTTTATTAATAAAAAGACACAGGCTAACAGAATATATATGAAAATAAGATCCATTCTTCTGCTCCATACAAGAAACACACTTCAACATCAAAGATAGATATTACCTCAGAATAATGGGTTGGAAAAAGATATTCCAATCAAATGGACTTAAGAAACAATGTGGTGTAGCTACCCTAATATCTAACAAAATAGACATCTAGCTAAAATTAATAAAAAGAGATGGAGAAGGCATTTCATACTCATCAAAGGAAAACTCCACCAAGATGATGCCTCAATTCTGAACATCTATGCTCCAAATGCAAGAGCACCCACAGTTGTAAAAGAAACATTACTAAAGTTTAAATCACATACCAAACCCCACACATTAATAGTGAGAGACTTCAACACCCCCACTCTCACCAATGGACAGGTCTGCCAGACAGAAATATAACAGAGAAATAAGGGAACTCACAGATGTTATGACTCAAATAGACTTAACAGATATCTACAGAACAGTTCACCCAAACATAAAACAATATACTTTTTCAGTACCTCATGGAACCTACTCCAAAATTGTCCATATACTGGGCTGCAAAGCAAGTCTCAACAGATACAAAAAACTTAAATATTCTCCTGTGTCTTATCATACCATTGTGGATTAAAGCTGGATTTGAACAAAAGAAACAACAGAAAGCCTACAAACTCATGGAAACTGAAAAATTCCCTACTGAATTAACACTGGGTCAAGGAAGAAATGAGTAAAGAAATTAAACACTTCGGAAAAATCAATGAAAATGAACTCACAACATAACCAAACTTGTGGGACACAATGAAAGTGGTGCTAAAAGAAAAGTTCATAGCACTAAGTGCCTTCATAAAGAAGGTGGAGAGATCTCATACTAGTGACTTAACAGTACACCTGAAAGCTCTATAACAAAAAGAAACAAACTCATCCAAGAGCAGGTGGAAGGAAATAATAAAACTCAGCGTGAAATCAATAAAGGAGAAACAATGAGAACAATACAAAGAACGAATGAAACAAAGAGTTGGTTCTTTGAGAATATCAACAAGGTAGACAAATCCTAATTCAAACTAACTAAAAGACAGAGATAGAATATCCAACTTAGCAAAATTAGAAAAACAAAAAGGGGGACATAACATCAGACACTGAAGAAATCCATAGAATCATTAGCTCATACTTCACAAAACTGGGAAATCTAAAAGAAATTGAAAATTTTTAATATATACAACTTAACAAAATTAAATAAAGATCAGATAAATAATTTGAATAGATATATAACCCCTAAGGAAATAGAAGCAGTCATTAAAAGTCTCCTAACCAAAAAGTGCACAGGGCCAGATGGTTTTAGCAAAGAATTATACCAGACTTTCAAAGAAGAGCTGATACTAATCCTCCTCAAATTATTCTACAAAATAGAAACAGAAGGAACATTGGCACATTCTTTCTATGAGGCCACAATTACCCTGATACTCAACACAAAGACTCAACAAAGAAAGAGAATTACAGACCAATTCCCCTCATGAACATTGGTACAAAATTAGTCAATAAGCTACTGACAAACCAAATCAAAGAACACATCAAAAATGCCATCCGCCATAATCAAATAAGCTTTATCCCAGACATGCAGGATGATTCAACATACAAAAATCTGTCAATGTAATTCACCATGTAAACAAAACCAACAAAACAACCAAACAAACAAATTATCATCTCATCAGCTTCTGAAAATGCCTTTGACAAAACCAACACCTATTCTTGATAAAAAGCTTGAAGAGATCAGGAATAACATAAACATACTTAAGTATAATTAAAGCAATATACAGCAAGCCAATATCCCATATCAAATTAAATGGAAAGAAACTCAAAACAATCCCACTAAAATCAGGAACAAGACAAGGCTGTCCACTCTCTCCATATCTATTCAATATAATACTTAAAGTTCTAGCTAGAGTAATAAGACAACTTATTAAACTTGATCTCTTAAAGGAGATCAAAGGGATACACACTGGAAAGGAATAAGTAAAAGGATCATTATTCACAGATGATGTGATAGTATATATAAGCAAGCCCAAAAATTCTATCAGAGATCTCCTACAGCTGATAAACACCTTTAGTGAAGTGGCTGGATACAAAATTAACTCAAAAAACTCAGTAGCCCTCCTACGCACAAACAATATACAGCCTGCAAAAGAAATCAGGGAAACAACACCCTTCCCAATAGCCACAAATAATATAAAATACCTTGATGTAACTCTAACCAAGCAAATGAAAGACCTGTATGACAAGAACTTCAAATTTTTGAAGACAGAAATTAGAGAAGCTATCAGAAGGTGGAAAGAACTTCCATGCTCATGGATCAGTAGCATTAATATAGTAAACACGGCCGACTTACCAAAAGTAATCTACAAATTCATTGCAATCCCCATTAAAATCCCAACACAATTCTTTAAAGGCCTTGAGAACAATACTCAGCATCATAAGGAAAAAAAATGCAGGCTAGCTAAAACAATCCTATACAATAAAAGAACTTTCAGAGCTATCACCATCCCTGATTTCAAGTTCTACTACAGAGCTATAGTAATAAAAACTGCATGGTGTGGCCATAAAAACAGACAGATGGGTCAATGGACTCAAATCAAAGATGCAGACATAAATTCACACACCTCTGGACACCGGATTTTTGACAAAGAAGCCAAAAATATGCAATGTAAAAAAGAAAGCATCTACAACAACTGGTATTGGTCTAACTGGATGCCAGCATGTACAAGCATGCAAATAGATCCATGTCTATCACCCTGCATAAAATTCAAGTCCAAGTGGATAAAAGACCTCAACATAAATCCTGATATACTTAGCCTGATTGAAGAGAAAGTGGGAAATAGCCTTGAATGCATTGGCACAGGAGACAAGTTTCTTAATAGAACACAAGATCAACAAATAATAAATAGGACCTCATGAAACTGAAAAGCTTCTGTAAGGCAACAGTGTAACACAAATTGTTAAACTATCTTATTAATAAAAAACCTGGAGCCAGATATTGGGGTGTAAGCTGAAAGATTAGAGAAACAAAACAAAACAAGCCAGCCACATTCTTACCTCTAGGAAATCCTCAGCCTCAACAGAGAGACTTCCTGTTTACTCATGCCTTGTATACCTTTCTGTGGCCTGCCACCTTATTTCCTTCCTTGTACTGGGATTAAAGGTGTGTGCCACCATGACTGGCTCTGTTCCCAGTGTGGCCTTGAACTCACAGAGATCCAGATGGATCTCTACCTCCCAAATCCTAGGATTAAAGGCAAGGACTACCACTGCCTGACCTCTATGTTTAATATAGTGGCTGGCTTTGTCCTCTGATCCCCAGGCAAGCTTTACTGGGGTATACAATATATCACCACATTTCCTCTTTTTTGTTTAAAATAATAAAAGGTTATAACTAATGTAAGAAAACCTATATACAATAAGCAAAATAACAATATACAAATATATGCAGGCAATAAATACATCAACAATTTCTAGTCCATTTGCATTTGACAAGTTCAGTGAAAATATTCCATTATCTATCCTATTTTGGTGAATCCAAAATGTACCTAATTCACTTTCTAACCTAACTTGTATTACCAACCAAAAACTATTTTTTGATGTCTTTCAAACTTATACACTTTACACCTCTTTAGTGAGTTTCTTTCTGAATTTGTTAACAAGGAAAACTGTAACTATTTAATCTTTAACTCCCTCAGAGACCTGAGAAGGAAATATTAACTAAGTAAGGAGGAAGTGCAAACAAGTGACTTCCAAAAAATGGGAGAAATGACAGAAACAGTTGGCTGCCTGGACAGTAACCCAAGGTTCCTCTGCAATGTTGGGACATCCATCTTCAGCCTACAGGCCTAGCATATCTGACAGACTGATCTGTGAAGCAGGATTTTCTAAAGACCTTTCCTACCTTGTGTTGGCAAGGATCAGCAGTCCTTTCTTTTGTGTCCTGCTTGTTCATTTTGCACAGCATACTTTTAGCAGTTGAAGCAAGGACAATTTCTTGCCCAGTTTGCCACAATGAAAGTAAACTCCATAATGAGTTTCTTTAATGCCCATCATCTTCTCTGAAGTAGATTTGTCCTGCCAGGAGCAGACATGTCTCATTGCCATTGAAAAAAATCCAGGTTATTAAAATATCTTAAATGCCACATTCTGTAGATCTCTGAAGTGTTTGAATATGATCTCTATATCTAAGATACATCACTGTTTGATCTGGAAAACATACCTAACATAGCTATAAGTTTGATTGTAATGACTAACTACTGACTTTCATTTCTTTACATTGTAATTAGTTGGTAATAATAACTTTCAAGGACTAGCAATTTGCATTACATTGTTAAATAACTATATAGGTACAATACCCTGAACAAGTTTAAAAATGTATGTACAGTATTTTCTAACAAAATCAATCTCAAATTTGTATCAATATACATAATTTGTATACAATATATAAGAATCCAATCCAATATAAAATATTTAAAACTAGTAGTTGCCTTTTAAAAGTAGATTCAATAATCTACCTTTTTATCATATCATATCTATATCCTCCCTTCTTTCTTTTCAGAGTAGATTCAATAATCTGCCCTTTTATCCTATCATTTCTATATCTCTTTTTTTTCAGAGTAGATTCAATAATCTACCTCTTATCTATATCCTCTTTTTTCTTTTTTTTTTCAAAATAAGAATGC